AAAAATTGAAATTTAAAAAAAAAATATTTTTTTTGAAAAGCGGGGTGGGGTGGATTAGTGAGGGTGAAGAAGGTTGAGAAAGAATTTTGAAAAATGTTTTTCCTTCTCTTGATAAGGAAAACATTTTCCTTCAATTGGAGAAAAATAAATTAATAAGAAAAATATTTTTCAAAAAATTTAAGCCAACCAGCTTTCTTAAGAACGAATTGGTGTTAAGAAAGTGAACGAAAGAAGATGAACAGAATGGCTAAGCAAGAAAAAAATTGAGACGGAGACGTATGTATTATTGAAATTAAATAAACGTAACCCTGAACCATAAGGAAGCCGTCTTAGCTCAGTAGTAGAGCGCGTGGCTTTTAACCACGTAATCGTGGGTTTCGATCCCCACAGACGGCGTAATTTTATTGGTTTTGGTAGTCAAACATTGGTCTTGGATTTTTCTGGATTTTCTAATTTGACTTATATATCACTCAATTCTTTTGAAAAATACTAAAATGAATAAAATAATCTGTAGAATGTTAATTTTAAAGATAAAGGATGGGTATATAGCACAAATTTTAAAATTCATTTTTTCTTGCAAATCGAGTCAAAGGAATTAATTGGTTAACCCTTCAAATTATAAGTGTCTAAAATAAAATAGAGAGAATGTATATGTAGTTTTGAATGATAAAAATATCAGATATTTAAGGAATTAATTTGATAGAAATATATTACATTACAATTTTGGCACTTACTATGCACCCCATATCTTCAAGGAGGTCCCACATTTTGCTATATTAGCTTATGAAAAAGATATGTATAATATAGGAGCTTGTACTAATTGTCATGATGATAACTCCATTAGGAGGACCATGACAATTGCCAATGTAACTAGTCCTAAGGATGGTAGTAGCGTATCGCCCCCCTGTACTTAACTTTGTTTGTTAATATATCGTTTGTTTACCCAAAAAAAAAAGATAGTGCGTCACACCTCATTCAAGGAAAGGTGTTGTGGTGCATATTATTCATCTATGACATTGTTGTGGTTGATGAGACGAAGAGGCGGTGTTAACACAAAGCTAGAGGTTTTGAGGCAAACTCTAGAGACTAAAGGTTTCAAGTTGAGTAGGACCAAGACAGAATACTTGGAGTGCAAGTTTAGTGGTGTGGATCAGGAAGTGGACGCGGATGTGAAGTTGGATTCACAAGTCATTCGTAAGAAAGATAGTTGCAAGTACCTTGGGTCAGTTATACAGGCAAATCGGGAGATTGAAGAAGATTTCACATATTGTATTGAAGGGGGGATTGGATGAAATTGAGGCTCGCTTCCGGTATTTTATGTGTAAACTTAAAAGTAAGTTTTAGAGAGTGGTGGTCAGACCGATTATGTTGTATAAGGCTGAGTATTGGCCAGTCAAGAACTCTCATGTCCAGAATATGAAAGTGGTAGAAATGAGGATGTTGAAATGGACGTGCGGGCACATTAGGCCGGATAAGATTGTGAATGAAGTTATTCGAGACAAGATGAGAGTAGCTTCGATATAGGACAAGATGCGGAAAACAAGACTTAGATGGTTCAGACATGTGAAGAGAAGACGGCTTTTAACCACGTGGTCGTGGGTTCGATCCCTACAGACGGCGTAATTTTATTGGTTTTGGTAGTCAAACATTGGTCTGGGTTTTTCTGGATTTTCTAATTTGACTTATATATCACTCAATTCTTTTGAAAAATACTAAAATGAATAAAATAATATGTAGAATGTTAATTTTTAAGATAAAGGATGGGTATATAGCACAAATTTTAAAATTTATTTTTTCTTGCAAATCGAGTCAAAGGAATTAATTGGTTAACCATTCAAATTATAAGTGTCTAAAATAAAATAGAGAGAATGTATCTGTAGTTTTGACAGATAAAAATATCAGATATTTAAGGAATTAATTTGATAGAAATATATTACATTTATATGATGGCGCGTCACACCTCATTCAAGGAAAGGTGTTGTGGTGCATATTATTCATCTATGACATTGTTGTGGTTGATGAGACGGAGAGGCGGTGTTAACACAAAGCTAGAGGTTTTGAGGCAAACTCTAGAGTCTAAAGGTTTCAAGTTGAGTAGGACCAAGACAGAATACTTGGAGTGCAAGTTTAGTGGTGTGGATCAGGAAGTGGACGCGGATGTGAAGTTGGATTCACAAATCATTCGTAAGAAAGATAGTTGCAAGTACCTTGGGTCAGTTATACAGGCAAATCGGGAGATTGAAGAAGATTTCACACATTGTATTGAAGGGGGGATTGGATAAAATTGAGGATCGCTTCCGGTATTTTGTGTGTAAACTTAAAAGTAAGTTTTAGAGAGCGGTGGTCAGACCGATTATGTTGTATGAGGCTGAGTATTGGCCAGTCAAGAACTCTCATGTCCAGAATATGAAGGTGGTAGAAATGAGGATGTTGAAATGGACGTGCGGGCAAATTAGGCCGGATAAGATTGTGAATGAAGTTATTCGGGACAAGATGAAAGTAGCTTCGATGTAGGACAAGATGCGGAAAAAAGACTTATATGGTTCAGACATGTGAAGAGAAGAGGCGATGATGCCTCAGTAAGGAGGTATGGTAGGTTGGTCATGGGGGCCCTAACAAGAGGTAGGGACAAACCTAAGAAGTATTGGGGAAAGGTGATTAGGAAAGATATGGTGATGCTTCAGTTCAGCGAGGACATGACCCTTGATAGGAAGGTGTAGAGGTCGAGAATTAGAACAAAAGATTAGGTAGTCGGGCATCTTCTTTGTACTAGTAGTTGTAGAGCACTATTTAATGCTAGTCTTGTATTTCTTGTTCTCAAATTTCTTTTATTACCCGTTGATTCTTGTGCTTTGATTTTCTAATTATTTTACTAGTATTGCTGCTTATTATTATTTCATGCTTTTACCTTTCCTGAGCTTTTTTTCCGCTTTACTTTTGTATCATTTCTCAGCCAAGATCCATTAGAAACAAGTCTCTTTACTTTTTCAAGGTAGGGATAAGAACTGCATACACACTATCCTCCCCATATTCCATATATAAGATTTTATTGGGTTTATTGTAGATGGTGCGTCAATTGTTTCTTTTTATTCCTTATAGGAATTATATTCTTCTAATAGTATTCGAAGAAAAAGAATCAGAATAATGCTTAAATTTTGAAAAGTTAAATGAATTTGAACTCTCAAAATAATTAAAAGTCGTGGAAAAATATTATGTGTAAAGTAGTTTCAACAATTTGATTAGGTTCATAGATGTGTCTGTCACAGTCTGACCAATTAAGATGGAATTTAGATGCTAAAAGGAATTGCAACAATTTTTGGGACAATTTTCGAATTATTGAAATGAAAAACAGAACTGAATTACAAGCTAAGGAAAATAGAAATTAACAACTAAATGAAACAGAGCTCCATGGCGGTACTCTAGATCTGGACCTTTGAGCTTCATAAACTGACGACTATTCTCAGCCGTCGATTAAGTGATCCGCTAGGCCTCTCCTACTGATTCAAGTTCGAACTCCGCTAGCCACATTTATTTAACTAATAATTTCGGGGTACAATAAAGGAAATATTTATTCAATCGCTCTTTTCTTTTTCCGAAGAAGAACCTTTAGATATCTACCTACTACTCCATCCGTGTCAAATTATTTATCATGTTTATCTTTTATATGCTGCTTAAGAAAATATTTATTAGAAGGGGGTTTGGACTATTTTTTACCCTTATTTATATCTTTAAGATATAATCTCGTGCTATATCTCCATTTTCAAGAACAATTACTATTGAGAGTAGTGGAAAAAATAATTAAGACAACTATTTTTTTTAAATTATGACAAATAATTTGAAACGGAGGAAGGACCAAATTTTATTACTGCTGTAATTCCGGGAAAAATTTACTGGCCATAAGCAAAAAGGGGAAAAATGAATTTTAAATACTTCATGGTTTGTGCAAAAAAGGAGCACTTACCCCTGAAAAAGTGAACTATGCATTTGACCAATAAGAGACATATTTTAAAGTGCTATATAGAGAATTACAAGCAATTTAGTATAGTAGTATGATCATGATGAATTTTAGTCAATTATGACCTTCATTTTCTTGGAAGAGCAGGCCGTAAATCTCTAAACATTTTTGTTGCAGAAAGGAAGGGAGCGGGAAGCAACGGTAAAGTTATTTATAAGCAACAATTAATGCTTGAATTAGGGTTGACTGTCTACATTATACCCCTGGGATGTGGGGCTCTTCCCCAAATTCTGCGTGAACGCGGGATGCCTTGTGCACTGGACTGTCCTTAATTCTTGTTGCAGAAACACTGATTTATTTGGCAATCTATGAGCAGTACTTCTTAAACCACACTCCAATGTTAAGAAAACTTTCAAAGTCTGTTCTTGGTCTGCCAAAAAAATAAACACATGGCATTAGATCTCACTACATAGCATAACATGAAATTTAATTACACTGATGGATAAGTGGAAAAGTGTTATTGATCACCTCAGGTGAGGGAAGTAAACCAGTGCTCAAATTTAGAGGGAAGGAACACAATTACCTATCGAGCTCGTGTATATCATCAGAAAACATCATCACCTTAACTTCTACTCCGTTCTCCTTTAATGCCGCGCATACTGCATCAGACACAGAACAAAACATGTTTATTGAGACACAACGTTTTATCAAATACCGAACTTGCAGGCAAGACGTACTAAGGTTCCTCCATTAGAATGAAAAAGAGCCCGATAGCACTGTAGGAAGTGTTTTCATATTTGTATGAAAACTAACTTCATTGTCACAGATGGTCAAATAAGCTGAATAATTTTTTTTATTGAAAGTCCCAATAAATAGGAGAATGCATGCTTTCTTGTTAGACTCGGATAAAATTGGAGAATCAAGCACAAAAAGGAGCCAAGGAAGCGATGATTTCCATTGTTATTACTATTTTATGTCAAAAAAAGAAAAAGAAAAGAAATGTACATACTTGTAATCCATCAGTAATGGGCACATGAAGGTCCTGAGCACCTAATACCATGAGCGTGGGAGCTTTGACCTGAAAGACTACCTCCACGTGAGTATAGAAGCATCGACAAGACAATCTAGTGCCATGTAAATTCCAATATGCACCAGCAAATTATATGTCTAAAAGGAATTAACTGTAATTTTTCCCCCTCCCATTTCCAGTTTCTTTTTGTTTGGATGTCAATGAGAAGTAGAAAGAACCAGATGTAAAATGATGAGTATAATCTTTGCATTTTTCAGTTGCCAAGTTCTACGCTCCTGTGCAATAAAACCTAGTGCTAGTAGCCTTATTCGGCGATAACAGCAACATAGCTGATGAAGCAGACCTTGGATACATGTGAAATGGGGGACTTGTCGTAGAATAGAGCAAGATGTTCAGCTGAAGGTGCTGCTGTGAAGTTTGATTTTGCTTCACTTCCAAATGCCTCAAAATAGCACCAATCAGGCATATCAGTTGTACCAACCATTAGCGCCAGGTTGCACACTGGGTTCCTAGCAGCTGCAGCAGCAAACTTGTCCGGTGCCTGCATGAAGTGCATAAGCAAGAATTAGAATAAGTTTTTAACTTTTCCTATCACCTTACGACGAAGTATCAGAACGTTTGGTCTTATGGCCACATGCAAACATTTAGTAGATGTAAATATAGGTAGGTTGTGGAACTAACAACCTGGCCTATCAAGTGTGTCGTCAAAAATCCACCATGAGATATACCAACAGCAGCAATTTTGGATGGATCTGCAAGTCCCATACTAGTGACATGGTCTATGGCAGCGAGTACATCATTAACATCCAGTGGAAATGTGATACAATTGAAAGAAATTTAAAAGAAATATTATCATTATGGATAAAACTATGACTGGAGAACAGCAATGGGCTGTCATAAATAAATTTGGAACGAAAAAGCACCTGCGTACCCGCTCTCCCTGGAAGAGATTGCAGTGCTTCCTCACCAAATCCCAAGGAACCTCTGAAAAGAACTCAATAAGGGATTGATTTTGTAATGTAATCAGAATAATGCTGAATTTGTGAGATAAGAGGTTATCAGGTTTTCTGAGTTCTAACTAGCTGAAAGAGTAATGTGTTCTGCCTTCAATTTCCTCATAAAGCCAGAGACCTCAAACTATAATATCAAGAAAATATATTAATGTAATGTGAGAAATCCTAGAATCAGCAACTCTGATCAACCACTTGACAGTGTGAGTGTACAGATATATCAAATACTGTTTTGCTAACTAACTTTCCAAAGTACAGTACTTAAGGCAAATGCTCAATTCACTGCAAAGATAAATGGTACCTATAAAGAATCTCTCTTTACAAGTTTATCTGAATGTGAAATTAGGACTAAGTGGTTATATCAAACACACTCTGCTTGTTCCGCACAAGTTATAGTACACCGAAAAGCACATCTCGGTTGCCACTTCCTGACAAGAATTACGTATGCCAAAAAGTATTATGGTACTATTTAACTTACCTGTAGCTTACAAGAAGCAAGCTAAATCCAAGCGAGCAAAGGAAAGCTGAAGATTTTGAGAAGCTTGACAATGAAACACAGTGAGGGCCCCCATGAAGGACTACGATTAGCGGGTCACATGCATCATGCTTCTTTGATTTAGAGGATGCAAAAATAGCTTCATACGGTTTGCTTGCACCTACCATGAATTAAACACATGCGCTAAATTAGAAGCAGAGAAACACAAAATATGTGCTAAAAATAAATATTACATCTGTTGGTTAAAAAGAGCGATTACATCCACTAAGCATTCTTGACATGCTACAATGTCACAACTCACATACCTTTTGAAAGGTTCTCCGAGACATCTCTAATAGGTATCGGCGTTATACAGAACTCCTTGGATGACAGCAAAGAACTCACCTTTGAAGAATCACAAGAAAATAATTAGGACTGTGCTAGTCTTTATTCGTGGTAGCCTAGCCCAAAATGGTTTAAACAATGTGGACATTATATTCACCTTTTCGGAGCATTTGGTTATGGGGCTTGAGATATCTAGCCAATTCCATTTAGTGTTATAGCAAGCATTCCCGACAAGATAACCATACTTGATTTCAGGAACATCAACTGGACTGCTACATACTTCAAAGATATAAAAAAACATCAGAAGAATCTCTTGGTTTTTGATTAGGCAAAACCATTTCAAGCATATCAAACCGAACATTTCAGGTGTCAACCCCGACTCTTTCTTTGACACGTTAAAATGTCAGGTTAAATGGAGCAACATGTCTGGTAAAGAGTCATATAGCCGACTCACAACCTGCTTGGCATTCAGGCAAAGTTGTTGTTGTCAGTTAAAAAGTCGACGTTGTTATTTCATATACATAGGGGGTAGGGGGGAAGGGGTAACAAGGGAGTGGATTACAAGGTCCGGAATCGAACAGGTAGACAACCAATTGAGCTACTAAGATTCCCCAGTCGACATTGACTCTTACCTGCAATTATATTGTCACAATCCAGAGTAAGGACGTCCCATGAAAACTCTGATGTGCTAGGGCTGATACGTGATACATCTCCGCTGAAAGTAAACGAGCAAGTGGTTGGACACAGACGAAGATACACACAACATTTGAGTACAATGGATATAGAATGGCATCCCTGTTTTACCTCAAGACATCCACGGCAAGTACAACTAGGGTGCTGCCCCAGGCAGATGATAAAACCATAGTGCGACCATCAGAAAGCCACAGGTTACTAAGAATATTAGAACAGTATAACCCAGGGAAGCTTCCATCTTCAGCACACATCACAACTGGAACCTATAGATGTCATTGAACACCAATAAGAAGAAGTGGTCTATCTAATAAGCTTGATCAAGTGAAACAACAAATTACGAACTCAGAAAATGGAAAAGGTGAAATCATTATTCCATCAGTGTGTTCAATTCAACAAGAGTTGTGAGGGCCAATGCTCAGCCGCTCGTATAAGTTTGTGAGCAAAGCAGAAAAATACTACCACATCAACAATTTTGTTATGCGGACATGGCTCTGCATCAATGGACCAATCAATTCTATGAAGTGAATCTGTTACATTATGTGCTCCAGAATCTACAGCACTTTTTGAAGATAAAAACACCAGGAACTTTCCATCTGGGCTGAGAAGTGAGAAAAACAAGAATGAGGTTGTTAGATTTTATGTTATAATTTGAAAAATTAGAGTTTACAATTGATATTTGCCACTAGGCTATGCAATCATATCACCTTTTTATCTATTAAAGAAAAACTAAGCCGGGGAAATAAAATGCATGAGCCTCTCAAAGTGAACTTCTGAATTGTTTTCTTTTTGTTTCTTACCTATTTGTTATTTACTTTTTAATAGTTACTTTTCCATTTTTCTTTCTTCTTTTCTTGGTAGGAGTTGTTGAGATCCAATAATTATAACAAGGAGACATACCTAAAACGAGGGAAGAACGCACTACTTATGCTTTCTGTCAGCACAACCGCCAATAGGTTTGCATTCGTTCTGAAGAAGGAAAAAAAATGAGATTACAATAACATCTAAGAAAATTTATCAATAAATACTTAGTCGGTTCAGTGGAAATAGAAATGAACGTTTAAGCTTAAGCATGATGTCGAAATCTTTGAAAAAAGAAGTCTTCTTTAGAGCAAGCAACCTACGCAGATTGTTCTGGTTCTGATCTAAAAGAAGGAGCTCTAACAGCATACAAAGAACATGGCCTATTAGTGCAGTATTTGATACCAAACTTTCTCGTCCCCGATGGCCATCCTACGAACACTAGATATTGTAGTGAGTCCTTCATCGATGGAGCCCAAATAACTTGCCCAATACTCACTGACTTCTCAATACCATCTACAGCGCGTACCTCTCCACTGCAGAAAGTTGCATTAAAGGGTTCCCTCATCAAGTTTAAATGAATAAACTTTTCCAAAACTACTTCAACAGATATCAGCTATATTAACCTGTTAATGTTGATTACGAAAAGCTTAGGTAGTCTTTTCCCCGCATATGCTTCGCCCCAACCCTCTTCCCAATCCCCTTGACCTTTCCAGCTATTACAATCTTTATCTGGACAATTCCCTTTCTTGTCGCCATGACATGTAAATGTCGGTTTTGCAAAAACAGGCTCCTCGGCAACATAAGCAATCAAAGTTTCATCAGAATTCCAGGAAATTCCCTCGAACCTGAGAGAGGCAACCGATAGAAATAACAATTAATGACTGCTAATGCTATTACCAAAGGATACAGTACATTTTTGGATAGCAAATAAAGTTACCATCCATCTGAATACACAGATCCATGCATAGATGAAGGAACATGAAACTCCCTTTCCACCTGAGATGAACTCCAAATCTCGAAGCAAGCAGGAGAATCATTTTCAGAATTTCGAACAACAAGAAGTTTTGAACCTGATGGAGAGGGAACTATCAAAGATGCTGTCCCCATCTCAATGGGGAAAGCAGCCCAATGAAATTGTACAGAATCATCTCTTTCTTTGGCAATGTGACTATATGATACATATCTCCTTTTCTTGTTTTCCAGGAGATTAGGTTGGCTAATTGAGAACATAACCTGTGAGCCTCCTGAACCGTGAAACAACAAAGAACATCACGAGTCATCTTTTGTACATATTTATTTCTCAGAAGAATTAGAGGGAACCAAATTGCAATACCAGTGTTAGATTTTAAAGTCCACGCCTTCTCAATTGTTGGGATTTCAGTGAACTCTTTGAGTAATGTAGACTGAGAATAGTATTCTTCTTCTGAAAATGCATCTAAACCAACAGGAGTATAATTGAAAGTGCTTGCTCCAGAATTTTCCATTTGGAAGCAAACTGACAAAATTCAATTATGGTTAGGCAGAACCAAAATAACAAGAATTCTACAGTTAAGTAATAATTTACTTGAGAGAACTACAACAGATGGATAGCCATTATTGGATTTATATTTTCTATCGTTCACCAAATTATTAAGACCTAATAATTGAAAAACAATCTGATCACTCCTCACTTTCATTACTCTTGATACCTACTGTTAACAAAGAAAAAGAATCAATTTCTTCAACCTTCTTTTGCAGCATTCTAACTGTGGTATTTTAGGACAATTCAGCTCATTCTGAACATAAAAAAATAAATCTTGGCTAACAGAAACTACTCCAACAAAGAAAGAGAATTCAAAGATGATGGAGAAAAAAATGACAAAATTATGCATATACAGACACACAACAACAACAACAACAATAACGACAAACCCAGTGTAATCCCACTATGGGGTATCGGCAGGGTAATGTGAATGCATACCTTACCCCTAATTTGTGAAGATAGAGAGGTTGTTTCCGATATACCCTCGGCTCAAGGAACAGTGAAAATCAGAATACAGACAAACAATACATATGATATTCATACTTACACATGCAGATGAAGATAAACCAAGAAAGCTTACATGGAAAATGAAAAAGTCTGGTTGATAATAGCTTGAGGAGAATTGGAATTAAAATGGAGGAAAGGAGAAGAGTAGAGTAGCAGCAGAAGTGATCACTTTGATTGTATGCCTGGATCAGACGGGGATCCTGAATGCTGCTCTGGTGAATAATCTTCTGACAATGTACGTTCAGGCTCTGTACCCACTACATGTGACTGCCCAGATACGATGCCCTGCGGAGCTGCTGATTTTCTGCTCCTCAAGGCCTTGTTCCTGGTTGCATTCACATCAGCAACATGCCTCTCTTGCTGGGATGATTGTGCATCCAGTATGATGCCCGAGTCCCTGCTCCTCAGGGCCATGCCCCTAGCCGTGGCGCTGCTTACATTCAAATCAGAAATAGATGTACCGGTAGTGTTGTCACCAGTTTTTCTTTTCTTGGGGTATGATACAATGCCCTGCGGAGCTGATTTCCTGCTCTTCAAGGCCTTGTCCCCCTGGCCTTGTTCCTGGTTGCATCATCCGTAACCACATCAGCAAGAGAGGCATCTTGCTGGGATGATAGTGCATCCATTACGATGCCTGAGTTCCTGCTCCTCAAGTCCTTGTTCCTGGTTACATTCACATCAGCAAGATGCCTCTCTTGCTGTTGTGGTTACTGATGATGCAACCAGAAACAAGGCTAGGGACAAGGCCTTGAAGAGCAGGAAATCAGCTCCGCAGGGCATTGTATCATACCCCAAGAAAAGAAAAACTGGTGACAACACTACCGATACATCTATTTCTGATTTGAATGTGAGCAGCGCCACGGCTAGGGGCATGGCCCTGAGGAGCAGGGACTCGGGCATCGTACCGGATGCACAATGCATCCGAGCATCTTGCTGGGATGATTGTGCATCCATTACGATGCCCGAGTTCCTGCTCCTCGGGGCCCTGCTCCTAGCCGTGGCGCTGTTCAAATTCACATCAGATGTACCTGGCACATTACGCTCGGTTGAGTGTGACCGTATATCACTGGTACTGCCTTTCTTGGAGTTGTCTTTCTTGTGGGATGACACGCTGCCATGCTGAGCTGAGTTGCTGCTCCTCACCTTGTCCCTAGCCGTGGTCCTGGATGATTGAGCATCCATAATAGTGGACTTTTCAAGCACAGTGTTGGCTGGTCTACTGGAATTTGTTGTGTTGGCCTGATTACCTTTCTTGGACTTCTTTTTCTTGTAGGGTGATCTTCTGACCTGCATATCTAATTCCTTAATCCTCTCCTCCTCGTTAGCCTTATCCGTGGTCTTGGTCTTGGACCTTGTCTGCGGGCCTGGTGGTGTACTGCCAACCTTGGCTGCCTGTGAAGAGTTAAACCTGACTCTCTGGACGGCATTCCTGGGGACTTCTTGTTAGGAGGTGTCTGCCTCATGGGTGGCTAGTATGTTGTGTCCTGATTCATGGTGGGTACCAGAAGAGTTATGCGAGACGACTAGTGTGGGCACTGAAGTGTGCTGTAACACATGGTCGACATGGGATAAAGTGGGGTCCTG